GTGTTCTGTGGGCTCATTGCTGGCGGGGCGCGGTGTTGGGGGGGTAGACGGGGGGGTGGTGGTGGGGTGGGGGGGGGTGGGGGGTTGGGGGGGCTTAATCGTACATTACTATCCACTGTTGGTCAAAAATTAAGTTAGCTTAGTTGTTTTTGTTTTTTGATCACATTCCATCTATTCCTTACTTTTAGGTAGGAAATCTATTATGACCGTTTTGCCGTAGTAGTCTGCTAAATGTTTCGTTATCATTTGGAATACAAAAATTGTGCTTGCTGAAGGTGTGCCACAGTGTCTCTATGTTAAATGATGCTCATATTTCAAAATGCTACCTCTCATTACTCAGAAACTGAGCATCTGTTCAGATTTAGAAACGCTTCTATTTATTCAATAATCTTGATTTATTTGATTAACATGTCTCGAAAAGACAGAAGACTTCGAATGCAGTCAGCTTAATGCTATATTTTCCTAATTGAAGAAGGGTTAATTGTAAAATTTTAATGATTCTCTTAAAACTGAAATTTGTGTGACAGCATCATATAAAAGGAGCTTTGAACAATTTACTTCAAATCCAAACTAATTAATTCCTCTTGCCTTTATTTATTTGGCCAGAAGGTGTATCTCAGAAAAATTCGAAAAACTGCATATTTATCATACCTCGTAGTCATGTCTCATAGCCAATGAATTAGTTTCTTTTTCTTCTAGTTGCAACGCCAATTGATGGTCACGTATGCATGCTCCGATTTGTCCCATCTTACGATGAAGTTCTCCTCTAATGTACAATACATCCATCCTATGAGGAGCCGCATTATGGGCTTGATTTAAATACTTCAAAGCGTCTGATTGTAAGTCATCATTTTCGCTTGTGATCATTGCAAGTCGAATAAGGGATGATATATGATTTTCATTCGATTTATTTGCCTCTTCCAGTTTTTCTGTTGCACCTTTAATATCTCCAAGTGCATTCAGAGTTAAACCACTATAATATAGCGCATTGACTTCTTGTTTATTCTTGGGGAACTTCAATGCTTCCTCGAATTGCTTTCTTGCAGCAGAATATCTTTGTCTTTCGTATAAAGCAAGTCCATAATAGTAATGAGTATCAAAATTTTTCTCAGGTGTTTGGCATTCAGAAGCACACGTATTGATAAGACTTTCGAAATCTTTTTTCGCCTCAACAACTTGCCCAAGAAACGCTTTAGCTTTTGCCAAGCAATATGTATAGTACTTTGAGCACTTTAATAAATCATTTGCTTTTTGTATATCTTTCAGTGCATTTTCATATTGTTTTATTTCACTGTAAACAAGACCTCGACTTAAATATCCTTTATGTGCATTTGATTCATCTTTTTGAATATATATTGTATAATCAATAATGGCTTCTGCATATTGACCAATCAATGCACAGGCAAAAGCACGTTTGTAATAGATATTTATTTCGTGTTTAGATTGTGGAATTTTCAATTTCAATGCTTCATTGAAATTTTCGATTGCATTAAATATCTCGTCTCTTTTATCTAATTCAAGACGTGCGCATCCTTGATAATAAAGTGAGTCAAAGTTGGGTGGTGTCACTGCTTTAAAATGTCCAATAGCCATTTCATATTTCTTGTTAACAGCTGCATCACGACCTGCTTGGACTTCTTTGCTGACCTACTTGTAAAAATCTTTAAAATTCGTATCAATTCGTCTATACAAAAGGATAAAATCGAATATCTCTATTGAAAGTCACAGATATTCATCGTTTTACAACTGAGAATTCTATATTGTACGTTAAATTTTTGAAATCAACATTATCAGCGGGTGAATTCCTATCGTTCTGAAGAAGTATATCTTATACTAGTAGTTGTCTAACGCCACGTTGGAAATAAGCCAACGTTTGAAAGATTTGCTCGGTAACTAATACTACATAGCCAAACTATAAATTTTATGCAAATAATAGTAATCAGTACAAAACCTGAAAGCTGAATTCAATTGAACAATTGAATTCCGCTATCAATTTTGGCACTACTGGCGGAAAAGGATTGAAAACATCAATTGGAAACTTAGACTCACAATTTTTAACGAAAATATGTGAGTTTCACAAAACTTATCGATTAACAATTCTTAGTCCTAAAGGGTGTGTGTTGCTTTCCTTAATATTCACACCCACACATCTACACGCTTACTCACACCGACACACTCATACCCACCCTCATCCTTAAGGTAAATCTTCATCCCCACTCTTCTCTCACAATTACAGACGGTAGCTAAGAACTAGACTCCCCACAGCCAGCTACAAGCTTTTAATTAATTAGTTAATTATCAAAGATCATGATAAAATGGGTCTGTATCTATCACAGACCGTGATAATGGACCTCAGAGATATGTGAGCTGCAGATTTTAGCCGGAGACTACACCAACAAAATTTCTTTCTTTTGTAGAAAACGTGTGGTTGGACACAACATAACAAGGATTTTGTCTACTGAAAGCTTTTGAGTAACAAAGACACATAGATGCTATAGATGAGTGCAAAGTGTTCATTATTCATTTGTAGTGGAGTTACTAATAGTAGTAGTTTATATTTCAAAGAAATATAGTGGTACAGATAAACTATTTAACGTCTGACTGAGTCTGTTATTGAGAAAGCTACGAAGCAATTCTTGTTCAAAGCGTCATCGCTGACAATAAAAAAAACTCAGGACTACATGTCTAAAATATTCTTCAATATCTTAGCCTCTCCAAACCTAATGGCTCTGACGTCCACGGTTCAGGCAGATTTCTGAAAACTTCTTCAGATACAATATGTAATAGAATGAATTTATTCATTCTTTCATAATGTTCGACGTTTTTGTTGAACTGGTATCAACAGTAAGCTGTATTGTTCAGAAGATCTATCATTTTATGAAACACGAACTGAAAGTAGTGTTGCAGTGTTCAGGATAACAATTTTGGACCTTTCCCGCTTCTGCCTGCTCATAGACTGTAGCAGACAGTCACGCGATCATTACATATGGTAATAGACAATTTGATGAATTAGATAATTGGGCTGTCATTAGTTTACCTATGGTTAACTAATTAGAGGCTCATTTGTTAATTAACTAGTGAGCAATTAGCTAATTCATCAAAATATCTGTCACGATCTGTCTGAACCCATGGGGGAGTGAAACTGTTGGTCTGACAAATCAAGCATTATGATGCATGAAAACATCCTGTAAAATGTGCCAGACACTGGGTGATGATGCTGCCTGATCATAAATCTTATTTAAGTGAATGTAATAGGGACGCTTATCTAGTAGTTGAGTTCCTAGTTTATGTTATATATAGAACAAAACTGCAGATATTGGTTCTCGAATTCGAAGAAAAAAAGCTTGTTAGCTCAGCCCCTTTGAGGCTGAAATGTGGAACTCGCATATGCTCTCTAGCCTCATTCAACTAATATAAAATACGTAAACTGAAAAATCTCTCCTAGACTAAAGTTGTTTTGCAGGATAATCAATCGCAAGAGTAAGAATCTCT